TAGCAGTAGCAGTAGAAGTAGCAGTAGCAGTAGTAGCAGTAGCAGTAGTAGTAGTAGTAGTAGTAGTAGTAGCAGCAGTAGAAGAAGCAGTGGTAGTGGTAGTAGAGGTGGTAGTAGTAGTAGTAGTAGTAGTAGTAGTAGCAGCAGCAGCAGCAGGAGTAGTAGTAGTAGTAGTAGTAGTAGTGGTAGTACTAGTAGTAGTAGTCGTCGTCGTAGCAGCAACAGCTCAGGAGCAGCAGCGCTGTAGTGCCATAGCGACATCTGTAGCACGTTTGGTGGTGGTATCGAAGTTGTCATTATTGCGGTTGCTGCTGCTGCTGCTGTTGTTGCTGTTGTCGTCCTCCTCCTGCTTTTCTTCCTGCTCCTTCAACTCCTCCGTCAACTCATCTTCAACTCCTGCTCCTGCTCTTCGTTGTTGTAGTCTTCCTCGGCAGCAGCTTCCCGAGAGACATGCTTTTTGGTCTATGGCTAAGACGAAACGGCAAAATAAATAACAGGAATAGTTACAGGCATGGGTAAAAATGAGCACATCAATAGCAGTAATAATTATGATAACCATAATAATGGTCATAACATCTAATCGCAATAGCCATAGCATTAAAACCCTAAACCCCAATAACAGTACCAATAATGGAGCAGCACTGGAGCCGGCCTGATCTGGCGACAAAACTCCTTGGCGATGAAGCGCCGGATCTGCGTGATGGGCCTTGCCAACAGGTTTCGGGGTTTTGGGTCTGGGGTTTAGGCCCTAAAGTTTAGGGTTTAAGGTTCATATATATATATATATATGTGTGTGTATACACATATGGGTAGTTTGCTATAATAGGGTTGTTTTGGGGTCCTTTTTATAAGGGTGCCGTGCTTTATTGGGGACCTAAAAAGGGACCCTAATTTACAGAACTACCCATATACCTAAACCCTAAGGCGCTTTTCTTGGTAGCCATCTCCGCTTCTTCTGCTTCTTGCGGTTACTTAGTTCGCAGCTCAGGCATTGTTCTGCTCGGCACTCGAATCTTTAGGGTTTAGGGGTTTAGCGTTCAGGGTTTCAAGGTTTCAGGATTTTAAGGCTTCAGGGTTTTAGGGTTTCAGGGTTTTAGGGTTTCAGAGTTTTGGGGTTTAGGGCTTCAGGGTGCTAGGGTATTTTAACGTCTATCCTGTGGTTTGTAGGGGGGGCAGAATACCCAGAAAGCTTGACAAATCACCCACTGGAGACCTAAACCCTAACACCAACTCCCATATGGGGTTTAGGGTTTAGGGTTTAGGGTTTAGGGTTTAGGGTTTAGGGTCCCTTTATCTTGGCGTTTAGGGTTTCAGGTTTACTTCACTAAAGCCTAAACCCAAAGCCCTACAATTACCCAAAACCTAAACCCGAAGCGAAATAATTACCCGAAACCCAAAACCCTAAGCCCTATAATTACCGTGAACCCTACACCCAAGTACACCGAACAAATCGACTGCGAGGTCCCGGCTGATGCTCATTGAGCAAGAGAGGTGTGAAGGCGTCTGGGCCCACTTTGTGGCCTGCGGTTGCACATCTGTCTGAGGGCAGAGATTTCGGGTTGAGGGTTTAATCCTAAACCCTAAACCCTAAACCCTAAACCGTGATCTATGGAGCTTAGGCTTTGGGGGTCAAGGTTTCGGAGCAAAGTCTCGAGCATCGCGCCCCGATCCTAACAGACGTGGCCACACAGGTAAGGTCTTAGAGTTCAGGACTCAGGGACTGGAATTCAGGGAGTCTGAAGTTTCGAGGGTTGAGGGTTAAGGGTTAGGGCTAAGGGTTTAGGGTTTAAGGGTTTAGGGGTTTAGGGGTTTTAGGGTTTAGGGTCTAGGGTTTAGGGTTTAGTGTCCGCACATTCCGGATCCAGGTGTTCGGCGCCTTGCGACATGGATGCTGCACAGGACCCTGCGATGACAAGTCCTGAGGTAGGGTTTAGGGTTTAGGGTTTACCCCTGATTCCAACTACACGCCTCCAGATCGAGGAAAGGTTGTTGACGATTTTGCCTCAAGAGCTCTTGGCTTGGAACCCTAAACCCTAAACCCGGCTCAGGATCACGGCTCACAACACCCCTGAAGCCCTGAAACCCTAAAACCTGAGCCCAGAAACCCCCACCACCCTGAAACCCAAAATCCTCCTTCTTGTTGTTGGTCTGCTGGGAGGGTCAGGGGACTTAGTAATTTAGGTATCATTACCTTAATTGGGGTTACAAACAAGTATACGTAGAGTTGACCATGACCCTTTAAGTAATCCTAAACTTCCCCTTACGGATCCCTTTGAAGACCCCTTTTTGGAACCCCCCTTTAAAAACCCTGAACCCTAAACCCTAAACCCTTGGGCCTTGCGCAGGGTCTGGCAGGAGTGCTTCCAACCCAGTCACCGTGGACTGCCTCGCAGGCTTCAGCCGAAGGGTTTCGGGTTTAGGGTTTGGGGCTTTGGGTTTGGGGTTTAGGATTTGGAGTTTAGGGTTTAGGGCTTGGGGTTTGGGGTGTAGGATTTGGAGTTTAGGGTTTAGGGCTTTGGGTTTGGGGTTTAGGATTTGGAGTTTCGGGTTTAGAGCTTTGGGTTTGGGGTTTAGGATTTGGAATTTAGGGTTTAGGGCTTTGGGTTTGGGGTTTAGGATTTGGAGCTTAGGGTTTGGGGCTTTGGGTTTGGGGTTTCGGATTTGGAGTTTAGGGTTTAAGGCTTTGGGTTTGGGGTTTAGGATTTGGAGTTTAGGGTTTAGGGCTTTGGGTTTGGGGTTTAGGATTTGGAGTTTAGGGTTTAGGGCTTTGGTTTTGGGGTTTAGGATTTGGAGCTTAGGGTTTGGGGCTTTGGGTTTGGGGTTTAGGATTTGGAGTTTAGGGTTTGGGGTTTAGGATTTGGGGTTTAGGATTTGGAGTTTAGGGTTCAGGGCTTCGGGTTTGGGGTTTAGGATTTGGAGCTTAGGGTTTCGGGTTTAGGGTTTGGGGTTGGGGTTTGGGGTTTAGGGTTTAGGGTTTGGGGTTTGGGGTTTAGGGGTCTAAACCTTTAGGAAGCTGGGGTTCCGGAGCTTTTACTTGCAATCGCACAAGCTGAAAGACCCCACAGCTCACAGGGTCAAACTTGAAACGCGACTGTAGTTCCTGAATCTGGGGAGGAGTCTGAGATCAAGCAGCTCAGAATTACGAATGCCAGATATTGGCCAATCTCGTTTAGGGTTTTGTTGCTCTTGTTGGGGAGTATAGTTTAAGTTCAATATGGAAACCATATCCTTTGCCACAGATCCCTATTCTGGAACCTTGAATTAAGTTTCTTCACAAACACCCAGAATACAGACAGGATTCTGGTGTAAACACATCGGTTGACGTTGTGCGGATGACGGTGGTGACGATTTTGCTGATAGGATAGGGGTCTAAATCGTCATCGGAGTCGTCGCCATAATCGTCATCACAGTCATAATCACAGTCACCATGGTCATCACGAACATCATCGCCCTTGTTATTGTCTTCCTCTTCGTCATCAGCCGCATCGTCATTGCCGTTATGATTTTCGCAGGTGCTATCAGAAACAGGGCCGTTCTGTCAATCCAGAGCCTTCTGTTTTCTCGGCAGGCAGATAACCCAGTATATCCCGCTGTGAGTTGTTGAGGCAAGGCTTCATAGAAGGTCCGCAAAGCCTGTACAGTGATCTCAACCCTAAACCCGAAACCCTCAACGGGACATGGCTTGATGAACGTTCGCCTGATTTGGGCTTCCCACATAGTGCAAGAAGACGACACATATACAGTTTAGGGTTTAGGGTTTAGGGATTTAGGGATGAGGGCCAATCAACTATACTACAAAGACGAAAATTCCTGACAAAGCCGAGCCCGGCACTCCACCGGCGTGGAGTTAAAGACCTGCGACACCCGCTGGTCAGCGAATATTCGTTTCGCCAAGATAAGAAACCAAAGATGAGCTGAAGAATAAAATGCAAGAACCACTTCTAGCAACTATGCATAGGCCCCATAGTAGTTCCTTTTGGGGATTACCTTATTCCAAATATGATATGAACCCCAAAAAGAACTACTTTAGGGCCTATGGGTAGAGCAACCCTGAAGGTTGGACGTTTCGGGAATGATCGTAAGGTTGCAGTTAGCTAGGCAGAACAGCAGCTTGGCAGCCCAAACAGGTTTGAGGAAACAGCTACAGGATCTCATTTTGAAGGCTAGGGTTTACCTATAGTATCCATTGTAGTTTCTTTTTCTGGTTAACCAGTTTTATGGCTAGGATCCTAAAATATAAATATGGTTAACCAAAAAATGGAACTACAATGGAGACTATAGGTAGGGCTTAGGGCTGCAAGGGGACAGATACTCACTAAACGCTGCACTACGCTGGGCTCATTCGGGACGGAAGAACTGCAGCGGATCGCAGGCTGCAGGAGCCTCATGACTGCAGGCTTTCAGTTTATTGTTTAAGGGTTTAGAGTTTAGGGTTTAGGGTTTAGGGTTGTTCTCTGTCTGCGCCCGGTAACCTCAATAACCTCGACATCGCACTTAAAAGCCCTGAACCCTTCTTCGCTAAAACCCCAAACCCCAACCCTGAAGCCTAAACCCTAAAGCCTGCATGAATCCTGAACGCTAAACCCCGAATCCTTGCCCCGTAACCTTCAGCCCTGATTACGGAGGCAGCCTGGTACCTACGCTATAGGGTCCTGAATGCGGATGGATCCTGCTGCTTCGTGGCTTTACCGTCTGGGGGCTCTAGAGCCAGGGGTGTCTCGATCAGGTTCCTACGTTTGAATCAGGGTTCAGAGTTCAGCAGGGTTTGAGCATTGGTCTGGGGGCTTCGGGTTTACGAGTGCTGAACGCCGTTCGTGCCTCCACTTTCCAGCACAGCACGTAGCAGACTGCCTGGCAAACAGGCTGCAGGAGACCAGAAATTTTCAGCATCGATTTGGGCCTTACATTGAAGGGAACTCTGAAGACTGACATTGTTTGGGGTTTAGGGTTTAGGGCTTAGGGTTGAGGGTTTAAGGTTTAGGCTGATTTGGCCTCTAGCAGACAGCGTGGAACCTTTATGTTGCAAACAAGCCCTTGGGGTATATGCCGTGGGCTACCCTTAACCATTGTCCATCCCACTTGAACGACGCCGTTAATGCCTTCATGAGTTACTTCTGTTCTGGTCTCTGGGTATGTACCCCCAATTAAATTAAGCCTCTTGTCACTATCGGCATAGGTGAGACCCTGGGCGCATTGTTAAGAGCCATAACCTTTTGAAGTGCACTGTTGTTTGAACAATGGGGTTTTCGGTTCTCACGTTGCCCAAGCTGTTCTTCTATATTGAGACGCTGTCGTCGTTACTAGTGCCAATGACTGTCTGTCTGTGCTTATGCTGTACCCTAAACCCTAAACCCTAAACCCTAAACCCTAAAACCTAAACCCTAAACCCTCCCTGCGTCTTTTTCGTCGTTTGCTGTCCATACTTCTTATCAGCCCTACATCTGCAAGCCGCAAGTTCACAATTCGGGGTGTGGTTTAGGTTTTAGGGTTCAGGGTCTAGGGTTAGGGTTTAGGGGATTTGATGGTTTTGAATATTAGAGCCCGACATCCCCCGATCAAAAAGCCTGCAATCCAAGTCTTCCTTCCTTACCCCTAAACACTAAAGCTCAAAAGCTCCAACCTGCAATCTCCGGAAGCCCAAGATGTAGGAGTTTCCGAAAATTAGGGCACCTCATTTTGGTGGTTAGGGTTTAGGGTTTAGGGTTTATTTTGGGGTCCTTCTACTAAGGATCCTATTATTTAGGGTACTACATAAGGGTCCCCTATTTTCGGAAACCCCCATATATACCTTATGGAAGCCCTATAGAAGCCAAAAAAAACCCTAAACTCACCACCTGTAGTTTCCTTTAGATCGGATGGGATCTCAGAGAATGATGTACACTTGGAGGTTCATGGGTAGTTATATGTGGGGTTATAAGTAGGGTAACAATAATTATCACCCACATTAGGGAACTTATAACCGTACTTATAACTACCCATGCCTAAACCCTAAGGCCTAAAACCTAAACCCTAAACCCTAAACCCCATGAACCTCCAAGTATGGCTTTGGGGGCTTTTGGCTAAGGTACTGGGCCAAAGGGGTTTGCGAGCAACGGAAGAGCCCTGAAGCCCTAAATCCACAAATCCTGGGGTTTAGGGTTTAGGGTTAGGGTCCTAAA